AAGTCAGAAGTCAGGAGCTGCTTCCAGGTCGCCCATGTGGGCCATCTTCAGTTGATTTCTCAGGCACATTGACAGTGAACTATCAGAAGTGGAGCATCCGGGACTTAAACCGATGCCCTTACGGAATGCTGGCACCACAGGCAGAGGCTTAGCCCACCATGTCACAGCCTCTGATCCAAAGCTTTGGTAATGTCTCATTTATAACATCGATGTCCAATCTAAAATCACTATTCATGTGTTTACAGCAGAAAAAAGAAGATCCGAATCCAGGATACACTGGAGACAAATATCAAGATGACCCAAACACCCCAACTACCAGACAAGGTCTTTGAATAAGCTGCTACGAAGACAGCCAGACTATAAGGAACCTGTGCCCCAGGGAGAGCAGTCAGAAACACGTCATGCGAGATCCAGACCCGCACAGATGCCACAGACACCCACGATGGAAACTCCAGAGCCGAGAGGCGCCGCTCAAAGACCACCAGGGGAGAGAGGCAGTTTCTCTGAACACACCTGAATGTCAGAGAGGACAAGGAAGGAAGAAAACCCAGCAGGACGACAACCAGGGGCCCCCTCCCCACACGACCTGGGCTGCAGACTGAAGAAAGAGAACAGCACGGAAACAGCTTCTGAACAGCAACAGCCTGATGCCCCCGACGTGCCCCGAGCAAGGCCAGGGAACGCAGCCGGGTACACACTCAGGGTGCCGAGGCAAGGGATCGCCGCAGCAGCCGGAGAGCGCGAGCAGCCTTCACACGCGGGAGCAGCAAGCGAATGGCAGCTTCCTTCTCCTGGGAAACGGGCCAGGGGACAGAGATAAAGCAGAAAAGAATAAGGCCCACCCCCTACAACTCCATACCCAGCGACAACATCATTGAAAAAGGGAGGGCAAAATAAAGACGCTGACAAAGAGACAGAAAGCAGTAAGGATTACTTCTCGGCACTTTGGCTAAGCTCAAGTGTAAAAGGCAGTAAGGTCGCTCAAGGCCGACCTAGGAACAGAGAGCAGGGCAGGCACAGCCACCACTCAGGAGTGCACCAAGGAACCACTTGGGCCCAGGAGAAGAAGCCCCGAGATTATCAGAGATGGTCAAGGTGGGTACTACAAAAGCTATGTTTTTCTCTTTTACTAGTTTCTTCAATAGATGTACCTGTTTATATCAAATTATAATACTGTATTTTCAGTTTTCCGTATATATGTATATATTACAAGGTGACAGAATGGAGTACCCTGTGACAAGTAGGCCTTCTTTGAAAATGCCTACAAGAGGATTAAAACACAATCCTTGGCAATTTTCAATTGTTGGATGTTCCCAAGAGAAGGCAAAAGAACAGGGGAACAACAATCAGGTAGCAGAAATGGAAAACAAACAGCAAAATGGCAGAAGTAAATTCAACATTACTGACGGTTAAATTAACGATGAATGGACTGAATGCTCTCTAATTAACTGTTTTTAAAGGTTTCTTTTCACTTGGAAAGTTAGAGAGACCGAGACCATCCATCCACCACTCACTCACTCCCTAAATGGCCACAATGGCCAGAAGTGAACCAGTCTGCAGATGGAAGCCAGGAGCATCTTCTGGGTCTCCCAGGTGGGTACAGGGAGCCAAGGCCTTAGGTCATCTCTGCCTTTCCCGGCCACCAGCAGGATGCTGGATTGGAAGTGGAATGGCTGGAATGCAAACCAGTGTCCGTACGGATGCCAGTGCTGCAGGCAGAGGACTCATCAGCACACCACCAGGTCACTCCCCACTCTCAACTCACTCACAACTCCCCAAATAATGAAAAGGTAGAAACCATGGGCCTGGGAGACCCAACAAGACGCTAACAAAAGCAGAGATGTTTTAAAAGCAGAGACTGCAAAGTGAAAGAATGTGAACGCAAACGGGATAATAACTTGGAAGAGCGAGAATGCGTGCCTGGCTGCCCACCACACCAGCAGCCCACGGGTGCAGAGCGGCTGTCAGGACACTGAATGGCGGGTGCAAGCACAGAGGCAATGGACACTGGCGTTAGAAGTGAGGCTTGCAAGGCTTCCCGTAGAAAAGAGAAACTTTTAAAGCAGACTGAGAAACTGTTTCCTTCTCACAAAGCAGAGCACTAGAAAGTAAACCAACAAAGGAGAAGGAAAGGAAAATAAACAGAGAAAAAGTCAAGGACAAAGCAGATAATAAGGAGGGCTGACTCGAAGAAAACACCAATAAAACCAGCCAGTCCCGGGCAAGACCGAGCAAGAGAGGGAAGCAAGTGAAGTGGTGACACTACCAAATCCTGCAGACAATGAAAGGATCAGGCGATATCGTGAACAACTCTGACGGCACAGACTCCAGGAATGAATGTGTCCTCTAAAGGACACAACTTACCCAACGAGGCAGATGAAAGCAACTCTCATCAGCCCTGGGTCTGAATTGAATCAGTTACCAGACACTATCGCACAAAGAAAACTCTAGTGTTGGAGTCTAACAAATATTTAAGGGGAAATAATAAGTCGGATCTTAGACAAACTCTTTGAGAAGAAGAGGGAGCAGTTACTCCTTTTCTGAGACCAGATTAATCTTGATTCTGAAAGAATCTGAAAATTACCTATAAAAATCCTCTTGAATATAGACGTGAAAATCCTCCACAAAATGTCAACACATAATAGACAAGGAACATCGTGACAAGGGAAAGCGAGCACGGGTCCTCCAGTGATCCCAGTGGGCAGGAGCTGGCTGGAGGACAGAGCGCCCGCTCGGCTGCACATTAACTCTCCTGGATCTTTCCAGAAGCAACAGAAAGCACCTGAGGAAATCGGACAGGCATCACTTCTGGAACCAAGTCCTCAGAGTGGACATCAGCTGTCTCCACGGTGGTTGACTCTGGCCATGAGGAGGCCCCAGAGTCCAGCCCAGGGCCTTCTACCACAGCCTGGACCTGGCTTTGCACAGCACCAACGCCTCAGGAACACATTCCCAGGACAGAGGGCAACCTCACGCAAGCAGGGCACTCAGGCCAGCCTCGACAGAAGCCAGCATTCATCAGGGACCATGGGTGAGGTCCTTGAGGCCTGGACCACACTGGCCAATTTCCCAAATGTATGGGTGTAGCAGAGAGAACATGTCACTTGGGACACCCACACTGCTGACTGAATGAGGATCTGGGTTCGAGTCCTGGCCCTGCTCCCAACTCCAGCTTCCTGCCGATGCACTCCCTGGGAAGCGGTGGAGATGGCTCACATGGCTGGGTCCCTGCTCTCTACCGGGGAGACCCAGGCTGAGTGTCTAGGCCCTGGCATCTCCCTGGCCCAGCCCTGGCTGTTGCAGGCAAATGCACAGTGAAACGGTAGATGGATGACCTCGCTTGCTCTCTCTTTCAAATAAACAAAATAAACAAACATTTCAAAGGAAAGAAATGAAGGCAGGCAAGCAGAAAGATAGGTGCCCCTGAACCCCAGAAGCCTGCCTCTCGTGCTCAGGACAGACACCAGCATGGCCTTCTCGCAGCTCTGGCGGTGCCACCTACCCACCCACCGAGGCCTTTGGGATCTGCACAGGAGCAGACGAGAGGCTGGGGAAAGCGGGAGCCAGCTGCACACAGACAGGGCAAGGCTCATTGTCGGAGCTGAGCAGCCACAGTCAGGGAGGCTGTAAGGCGGCTGTATCCAGGGCAACAGGCAGCAGGAGAGGGTCCAGCGCTTCTGCCCACCCCCTCCACCTGCCAGACCCACACGACCTTCTTTCTATCCAGTCTGAAACACTCCCGGCATCATTAAAACCCAGCCCCTGTGCCCCACGAGATAATACTCCTGTGGCCGCTTGGATACAAGGACAACCTGCTTTTAGTTGCTGGGAGCCTGCTATTCCTCACAGTACAAAACCACAACATTCTTCCTAAATAAATGCACAAATAAAAATGACCTTAGACACAGGGATGACGTAAAGAAATGAGGAAGCTGTGACATGAACACGTGTTGAGAGAAACACGGGCTTGACAATTAGTTACTGTCGCAGAATGCTAACGGGCTGGCGGCGAGCAGGCAGCACCAGGGTTCTCTGGGGAACTGTTTGTCCTGTCTAGATATAATTACAAGAGACCGCACTTGCGGTTCTTACCGATTCATTCGTCCAACAACATTTATTTTGAACTGACTGTGGGCCTGGCAGTGTGCTGGGTGTTGATGCGGCCAAGACGCATGGTCCCACGTGGAAGACGTTTCCATCTTATGGGAGGAATAAACAGCTAAGTCTGTACCACAATTACTAAGCCCAGAGGACAGATCTGCAACAAGCTTGCTGATTGTCTAAAGGAGAGAGTCACTGAGGAGGCTTGTGGTGCCCAGAGAGACTACACTGGGACGCTGCCAACCTGTGTGCCTAGGCCCGACATGCAGCCTGGGCAGCCCCAGGCACACACAGGTGGCCACCTCTGGTTTTCCCCATCAAGTCTACACTAGAGTTGTCAGTGTCAGAACTGACCAGCTGCAACTTCTGATGAGAAATCTAACAGACAAACGTTCTATTCACTGTGCTGTGCAGCTTTTCGTGGGCAGCAGAAATTACTCCTTTAAAACAGCTCTGTGCCAAGTGGGTGTGTCTCCCACAGGCACAGACGCAGCTCTCAGCCCCAAGCACACAGGGCCTAGGGGCAGCTCAGCTGGCTTCTCTCCTCATCTCTCTCTAAGAATCACCTCCTCAGAAACCCCAGCTGGGGTCCACACGTGTCACTGAGCAGCTAAACCAGGTCCTGCCCTCCTGGGGGAGCACTACAAAGCCCTCCACCCACTCTGTCCCTGTTCAGCTCCAGCTGTGCTCCTGGTCCCCTTCTTAGACCCCCTTGCCTCCAGGCTCCTGAGCAGGACCGGGTCAAGGCATGCAGGGGCCAGATAAGACATCCCATGGGTGGTTCTTGGGACACGGCCAGGAGAAGTGGAGAATCACGAGTGGGCGGCCGGCATGCAGGCTGAGCCCCGGTGGTGCACGTGTGCTCAGCTACACATGCAAGCCACGACACAGCAACTCACCTGAACTGGAGACACAGTCCACGTGAGCCGACTGGTTCTGTGCGTGAATGGCGGATGTGAATTTCCAAAAGCTTGTTATTTCCAAACATTTCCACCAGAAAAACAAAACGGATTATTGCTTGACAAGAATAGAGTATTTGGAAACAAAACAAAACAAAACAAAACTCACACGAAATTGCCCTTAGCATCTTTCTTCCTGGTGTTATCAGTCTTTGGGGATATTTGGTTGTCAGTCGTAACCTTGGAAACTCGCCTAACCAACCTGCAAATGAAAACAAAGATTTGGGTGACAAAGTTCGCTGCTCAGCTGCCAACTCCCCCCACCTAAACGCTAGGAGCCAGGTTCATTTTGCAAACTAAATTTAATTTCTTACAGGGAAACTCGAAATTTATAAAACAACCCTGGAGAATTTGAATTTTAATAATCAATTATTCCTCAGCCTGATTCATCTTATAAACATATGGAATATGCAAACAATTAAATTAGTTTAAAGAAGCCAGACCTTTAACGCATAGTTGAAGAAAACTTTTACATAAATGAAGAGTAATTGCCAAATACTCCGGTGCTGTAATACAATTTTTCAGCTGCCTGGTGTATAATGTTTCTGCACTTTGAAAAGGAAAAGTATTCCCTTCTCTGACGCTTTTCTTTTTCAAACAAGAAAACAACCCTCGTCTGTATCTTTTATTATATTCATAATGAAGACTTATTCTTCTAAGTCCTGCAGGTATGATTTTTTTCCTAAAAGTACTGGAAAAGTCCTGGAGCTATCACAGCGGCACTGTAAACAGCAAGCTTACACCGATGTGGGTGGTGTTGGCCGTGCAGGTTAAGGGAGAAGCAGCAGCCACAAAAAACAGGGGGACCCGTGGTGACCTCCCCAGGAGCCACCAGGGAAAGGCGCAAGAACAAGGCAGGCCAGCCAGTCTATGGGCTTGAAAGCTGACACGGGCTCGTCGGTGGCCACGGCCCTCCAGCCCGGGCTCCAGAAGTGAGCAGACTGCCCTGAGGAGGAACTCCGGGTGCCCGGACAGCCTGTGATGACCTGTGAGGTGCTACGCGTACTATCATCGTTGGTTGAGTGGCGTTCAGACAGGTCAATGCAGCACTTCCCGAATCCGTCAAGACTCCAGCGTCATCAGCTCCTCTTCAGCAAACCTCACTGGCGGACAGCTGTGTGTGCTCCTACCTACTGACCCTTACACATGCCTGTTGTTTTCTTTACGCAAGCACCACCTACAACTCTCGCGCGGCACCAGGTTCTTTCCTTGGCGGAAGGAGGCCCGTGATAAGCAGGTGTAAGGATTGCCCTGAGTCTCATCACCATGCCTAGGAATCTGGACTGGCTGCCATCACACTGCCTCCCCAAGCCTTGTCTTCCTAACAGCACGTGATGACTGGTGAGCGCTCCAAGGCACATGCAGAGCCACGCCTTGGCCTCCTGGCACCTGGGCAGACTCACCAGCCACCTCAATCATGGCATGTGATGACTGGTGAGCGCTCCAAGGCACGGGCAGAGCCACGCCTTGACTTCCTGGCACCTGGGCAGACTCACCAGCCACCTCAATCATGGCATGTGATGACTGGTGAGCGCTCCAAGGCACGGGCAGAGCCACGCCTTGACTTCCTGGCACCTGGGCAGACTCACCAGCCACCTCAATCGTGGCAATGGGGTTGGCCAGCACAGAACTCTAACAGGCCAGTCCCAGCAGCCGCACACACTTGCACTCATGGCTTCTGTGTGTGTCACCACTGTCTGGGCCGGACAGTTTCAACAGAATTGGACACACTTTGCCTTCAATATCATGCTGGAAAATTAGAGCTTGTTCTAGAAGAATCAAGAGCACTTCCTGAGTGGGTTTTCTAACCTAGAAGAGGGAAAAAGGCAAAAGGTGGAACACAGAACCAGAAGTACTCCTGGGAACAAAACTGCCAAGCAGCCCTGCCACACCAGCCCCTGCTGCCTCCTGACCACCTGACACAACCACTCCTCCACTCTCAGCCCGGAGCGCGGGGAGGCCAAGGAGTCGGGCTACACCTGCGCAGTGCCTTTTCTTTCTGACTCACTTAGGCACACACGTGCAGTGCCACAGATGGAAACCACTCAACTGGAAAAAACTGTATCTGCATCGAACATGTAACAACTTTTCTTATCATTTTCATCTAAGCAAAACTACTTACACAACAGTGACACTGTGCATTATACATCTAGAGATGATAGAGTCCAGGAGGGCGCACACAGGCGATATGTAAGTACGGCACACTTCTCCCTAAGGGCTCTGCACTCCTCAGATGCTCTGGAGCCAGCCCCTGGAGCATCCCATGCGATGGCCGCAGGTGCACAGACTTTCTCTGCTAGGTCTCGTTTTTGCTGCCTCTCCGCTGCAAGAGGTGGCCTCAGAGGACAGGTGCGCATCAGACGTGGCCTGTGGCCTCGTGCTCACACTCAGGACCTTTGCTTTCTATCAGGATTTGCTGAGTGAATGAACACGGGCACTTCCTCCTCTACAGCCCCCACTTAACCCTCTGCAAGCCCCAGTACACCACACCTGAAAGGTGAATTGTGTCATGTGGCAGGTCACAGGAGAGGGACCCAGCTCACGTCCCAAAGACCGGCTCCCTCAGCCACAGACCTGGACCAGCTCACGTCCACAGCACTGGAGACCAGAGGCCAGGCTCAGATGTTGTCACGTCACTCTCTTGGAGGCCTCAGCGGAGAGGAACTCTGACTGGGTCAGGTGTGTGGCGCTGAGGTACCCTGTTTGTGGACTTAGTCATAGCAGTCCCAGGAAATGAGCCCCACTAGCAGAGGGCGGGAAGGAAAAGGGCCTCCCAGTGGTGAGCCCTGGGGAAGGCCCAGAAGGAGAGGCCTGAGGGAATTGGCCCAATGGGCAGCTGAAGGGTAGCCCTGGTTCATACGGAGGAAATTATATCCCCGAGACCACTGGTGATGAGTTCAGGTGCAATGAAGAATCACTGGAGTGAGGACACTCGGTGGCAATGAGGCTGACGGGGACCTGGAGCAGGTGTGCAGCTTCCGGAGCAGGCCAGGGGCTCCTCGTGCAAGGCAAGGACTTTAACCACTTGCGCCACCGCACCGGGCCCAAAATAAATAAAATCTTTAAGAAAAAAAGCACCACTCTCCCTGCACATACCCCTAGCACCAGGATAGCCTGCAAAGACATAGCAAAAGAATCTCATTTCAAGAAAGTATTTAAAGCAAAAAGACAGGTCAACGGAAGAACAAAACTACATCCTTGACAACATTCACTACATCTGTACGACAACAAAGCTGAAAGAAACAAACCTAAACATCAAACATCAGCGTGATTCAAAATACAAGGACTGTGAGAACGCAGGGTACACTGCCAGTGACACACGGCGAGCTTCCAGGGCGGGGAGGCTGTGCGCTCCTGTCCCCCACACAAAGTGCAGTGCTTGGTTCTCAACAGGCTCGTAGACGGGGTCAAAACAAGGGCATGAAGGAAACGCACCGCACCACATTAGGTTCAGCACTGCGGGGGACAACAGTGACCCCCCAAAGAGGAGGATCAGCACTGCGAGGGACAACAGTGACCCCCCAAAGAGGAGGATCAGAGCTATGGGGGACAACAGTGACCCCCCAAAGAGGAGGATCAGCGCTGCGGGGGACAACAGTGACCCCCCCAAAGAGGAGGATCAGCGCTGCGGGGGACAACAGTGACCCCCCAAAGAGGAGGAACAGAGCTATGGGGGACAACAGTGACCCCCCAAAGAGGAGGATCAGCGCTGCGGGGGACAACAGTGACCCCCCCAAAGAGGAGGATCAGCGCTGCGGGGGACAACAGTGACCCCCCAAAGAGGAGGATCAGCGCTGCGGGGGACAACAGTGACCCCCCAAAGAGGAGGATCAGAGCTATGGGGACAACAGTGACCCCCCAAAGAGGAGGATCAGAGCTATGGGGACAACAGTGACCCCCCAAAGAGGAGGATCAGAGCTATGGGGGACAACAGTGACCCCCCAAAGAGGAGGATCAGCGCTGCGGGGGACAACAGTGACCCCCCAAAGAGGAGGATCAGAGCTATGGGGGACAACAGTGACCCCCCAAAGAGGAGGATCAGCACTGCGGGGGACAACAGTGACCCCCCAAAGAGGAGGATCAGAGCTATGGGGGACAACAGTGACCCCCGCAAAGAGGAGGATCAGAGCTATGGGGACAACAGTGACCCCCCAAAGAGGAGGATCAGAGCTATGGGGGACAACAGTGACCCCCCAAAGAGGAGGATCAGAGCTATGGGGGACAACAGTGACCCCCCAAAGAGGAGGATCAGCGCTGCGGGGGACAACAGTGACCCCCCAAAGAGGAGGATCAGCGCTGCGGGGGACAACAGTGACCCCCCAAAGAGGAGGATCAGCGCTGCGGGGGACAACAGTGACCCCCCAAAGAGGAGGATCAGCGCTATGGGGGACAACAGTGACCCCCCAAAGAGGAGGATCAGCGCTGCGGGGGACAACAGTGACCCCCCAAAGAGGAGGATCAGGCGGGGGCACATGCCCCAGAGGAGGTCAGCACTGCGGGGGACAACAGTGACCCCCCAAAGAGGAGGATCAGAGCTATGGGGGACAACAGTGACCCCCCAAAGAGGAGGATCAGCGCTGCGGGGGACAACAGTGACCCCCCCAAAGAGGAGGATCAGCGCTGCGGGGGACAACAGTGACCCCCCAAAGAGGAGGATCAGCGCTGCGGGGGACAACAGTGACCCCCCAAAGAGGAAACTGCAAAATGAAATCAAAAGATTCCCATTGGGAGGAGAGTGGAAAAGGTCAATTTTTTTTCTTTTTTGAACACTCCATTAAATCCTACCACATTCTTTAACAGGTAAAAATGGGTATTTACACTTTTTAAAATGCTTAGATCGAAGAAATTCAGATCAAAATTGCAGAATTTCATAAAGATAATGAAAAGACAGCATTTCATTAACAATTAAATATGTCTACCCTTTGTGGAAAGCCATCCCCAGAGTTCGTATACACAGGGGAACTGTGGCAAGGCTATTTGTTGCAGCAAATTAATTGCAAAGTGGCAAAGGGCCAAAAATGAATAACAATAATAAAAATAACTATGAGCTCTGCCAACAAATTACTCCACAGACTACAGTGTCCTCTGGGCAGGGGAGGAGCGAGGCTCAGGGTGGCAGGGAGAGCAGCCACCAGGCAGCCGCGAGGGACGAGAGAGCGCAGGGCACGGCAAGGAACCAAGGAGCTGCTTCCTGCGTGGGTC